GGAGACAAGTGAATATCGGTTATGTCCAATATTCACTTGTCTCCATACACACAGACAATGAAGGCCATCAGTTCGACTGGGGACAAAGTGACCATAATGGGACAAATGAACACCAGACGTGCAAGAGAATTTCTGGAGGCCTGGTTCTCAACACAGGGCTCCGTTAACACATGGAAATAGGCCCCGTATACAGACCGCTTCAAAAAACAGAACCAGAAGTGACAAATCCCGCCACACCAGAGGTTCATATGAATTCAGAACAGAGCAGAGCACCAACGCTTCGATTAGAGGTCGCACTGGTGATGTTGCCGAGAATGGGAATGAAACGTCTGCACACCACAGAACAACCGGCTCAGCGAGCTAACAAACAACTGCGACCACAACCCGAGCTACAAATTTTCACTAAGATCTTAAAAATACCCAGGAACCTGGACAACCACTTCCCCCATGATCAATGACTCAGCCAATCAGAATTGATTTGCCAACAAATCAACACATGCAGTGTAAATTGTTGCAATCGTTTGAAATTTGGTGCTTTTGCATTTGTCCTGACAACAGTGAGACAAAGAGCTTCAGTAACGTGTCTATCCTTTCAGCAATATTCATGTGTTTCACCTGGATTACTGCTGGAGGGGAAGCGAAGCTTTACTTCAGGAATAAACAGCTGCAAAGTAATCAGTAGGGTTTTGCTGTTTCTTTATTCTTCTGTGGAAGGTGAATGTCACTGGCAAGCACATTGAAGAATGCTAACCAGGGGACACTGTTACTCGTCCAGTGACATTATTAGTATGCTGCCACCTGTTCCCTATTCAAAATTTCCAAGCACTGAAATGACGTCACCCCCGGGTGCACTTTTTCGACCCTGTTGAACAATTGGCACTTGGGACAGAAACAAAAGATCCCAATAATGAGGCAGGAACCAGTCAGGTATAAAGTTTAATCAGAGTTGTTTCTTCGGGAGCCGAGTTGCGAGGTTTCTGCAGTTGAACAGTCCACTACATTGGGACACAAAGGTGGAGACTGGGAACCTGGACTTGGTAACAGAGAGTCACAGGTGAAACTGTAAAAATAATTCCAGCAAAGATCTAAGTTTTATTTTGAATGGCAGAGATAATGGGTTTGAAAGATACAAAGAGAAAGGTTTGAGAAAAACAAATTGGAAAACCTTGGTCAACGAGTGCTGGTTTGTTATGTAATAAGTCTTGGCGAGTTTTGTCTCCTGGAGTAGTTTCAACGCCTAGAGGGACTAGAAAGGAATTTCCAAGATGTTTTCCCCCTTTATTAGTTTCCAGTTTGTTAAGCTGTTCTTGGCTATCTTTGCTTGGCTATCCCATCCCATCCCATAATGACTGTTGTGACAATGATATTATGAATAAAGATATTCCGAGCACCTCAGTAACAGACTCAATGAGCCAGTCAGTATTGCATCTATCAGAAGGGGATTTCCATGATGCCTAACTGAGCTGGAGGTGTCAGATGCACATTGACAACCGCTCAGGGACAAGCAAGGCACATCAATTGGATTTTCACCAACTTGAAGGTCCAGATGTTTGAAAGTGTCGTTGGATACAAGTGGAGGAGGAGGTGGGCACTCAAGTTAGAGGGTCACCTGTTGATATAGATATCAATAAATCCAGCAAGGAATTCAGGAGAAATATCTTTGTTCAAGACCCTGGCTCTCATTGCTACATGGAGGTGAATACATTGGACACAGCTACGGGGAAGATGTTAGCGTAGAGATAATGACATTAGACAGGCAAGCCCAAAGCCCCAGCCAAACCATCAACAAATAAGGCCTCAAATCCCCATCACAGCAGCCTCTGGAACTTAATTATGGTAAATAAAATTATTGAGCCTGTTTCAATGAACAAAATTGGCATTGTCTATTTTGGAGTTCAAAGTCTCTGCCTTGACAAATCAGAGTCAACTTGCCCACTTTAAATGTAAACAAAACTACAAAGTTTGACAGTTAACTGTTAGTCATGATCTAATTGACGCATCCACCATGGCAAAACCTCAACTCATCATGACCCTTTCTCGTGAATGTCCTGATGAGTGCAAGTATCTTTGAGAAAATGTGTCTTTTCTCTGCACTACTCAAGTTCTGAGCTACCGAGTAGAAGGAAAAAATAAGACTATGAGGGGGAAAGAAATGGAGAAGTAAGTGGTCGTAAAATGCAAGAAGGAAGTTCAGGAAGAGCATAACCCGAAGCATAGACCTGATGGACTGAATGGCCTGGCACTGGGATGTAAATGTTATATTTGATGAACAATCTTTCAGTGGCAGTTTTAAGCTTGACATTGAATACTCTGGTCTATCATCGCCAGTAAGTAGTTTACACAAAAGCAAAGGAAGCAAAACTCTAAAGTGCCTTGATTTATGAACTCCCCATCATAATCCTGAGTGCTCAATTCCAATGTTAAAGACAGTTGCTGCTAAACAGGGCTGCAAACATAAGTGTTTAAACACTGGCTTGTCAAGTTTGATATACTGGAGGTTGACAGTGGAGTTGTGTTTAAACCCACATCCATCTTGGGACAAAGTCAATTCTGCCCAAAAATAGCGCTGCCAGGAAATCAATAGCTCAGGCTGGGACCTTACCTCATAGTCGACCTTATCGATGCCCACCAGGAAAATAAATTCTGCGATAAACAGATTCATGCAGAGGTTCTTGTGGATAGTGTTGCGGTCACTCTGAAGGCCTCGGAAGAAGCAGAAAGTGAAGATGCAAATGGCCAAGCAGATAAGGGAGATGACAATTCCCACCCAGCTGATGATGGACAGGATCAGTTCGTGCATCTCAGTGGAGTACTGCAGGAGAAACATTGGGTAGATTAAATATAAATAAACAAACAGGAAAATACACTCTGAGCCCACCATGCCTGTCCTACTCCATTGTATATATAATAGATATATATATATTAATTATACAATCATAATATAGTATATGTACATAAGAACAACAGAAACTGAAGCTGGAGGAGACCATTCATCTGGACAACAAAATGCTGTAAAGGTCTCACCAATGAGGAAAATCGCTTGATATCCTATTTTACATTCTAACTGTGTAATAACATAGACGAGGCTGTAATAGTATCAGCAATTAAATAACTTGACAATTAACAACACAATAAAATAACTGCTGTCAACCAGGATTTTCATTTAAAATTAATACTTATTTCAGGGCAGTAAAGAGAGTAAAATACATTCTGTCTGCCAGTCTTGTACATTGATGCTCCTGGTCACTGCAAGGTGCAAGGTGCGAGGGGGGATGTTTAAAAGAGATGTACGAGGCACATTTTTCACACAAAGGGTGGTAAGTGCCTGGAACGCGCTGCCAGAGGGGGTGGTGGAAGCAGACACAGTAGCAGAATTCAAGAAGCACCTGGACGGATACATGAATGGGAAGGGAATAGAGGGATATGGATTCTGTAAGTGAAGACAGTTTTAGAATGGAAGGGCAAAATGTGTTGGCACAGGCTTGGAGGGTTGAAGGGTCTATTCCTGTGCTGTTATTGTTCATTGTTCTTCTTTGTTCCTTGTGACAACTCTGTGAATAGTTGGGCTCAATTTCCAGTGTGCTACCTCAGTGAGTCATAACACAAGAATTTATCCAATTCACATTTTGAAAACCATTGTGACTGCTTCCATCCTCCTTTAAGGTATTCCAGCTCATACTGTAACAACTCATGGCACGAAAAATAGTTCTCCTCGACTCCCTCTCTGGGTTTTTTTTGCCGACTATTGTAAATCTGTGTCCTCTGGTTACTGACCTTCCTGCCAGAGGGAACATTTTCCTGTCTCCCTTACTCAGCCAGGACTTTTCCCACGTGCTTCAGAAATACAAGACAGCTCGTCCCATCAGCTGTAGGACTGGTGCGCAAGGTGGAGAAAAAAATAGGACTCATTCCATCTTTGTTTACAGTTCCCCAGGCCAACACAAACTTTTCTTTTTAATTCACCCACGGGATGTGGGCATAGCTGGCTGGCCAGCATTTATTGCCCATCCCTAGATGCCCTTGAACTGAGTAGTTTATTAAGCCATTTCAGAGGGTAATGGAGAGTCAACCACATTGCTGTGGGTCTGGAGTCACATGTAGGTCAGACCAGGTAAGGATGGCAGATCTTCTTCCCTGAAGAACCAAATGGGTTTTTTCCTGACAATTGGCAGTGGTTTCACGGTCATCAGTGGGTTCTTAATTCCAAACACTTGAACTGCTCTGGCAAGATTTGAACCCAGGTCCTCAGAACATCAGCTGAGCTTCTGGATTAATAGTCTAATGATAATCGCACTAGGCTATTGCCTCCCCTCATTGGTGACTCACCTCGATTTCCTTGTGGGCCATGATGATTGCAAAGTTGGTCAGGTGCCGACACTCACACTTGGTGTGAGTCCTGTTAGTGTCAATCAGCTTGCACCCCTGAGTAGACCAGAAACCTGTCATAGTGCGCTCGGAGTAACTCCAGAACGAGCAATTGGCATTGAAGTAATTGTCAGGCTGAAGGGAGAGGTGCAGGACAGAGAAAAGAGACAACATTCAATCATTCATTGATTTTCGACACAGGAGCTAACAAATTCAACTGCAATTTAAACTTAGCTTTTACCTCAACCATCGGGTTGCATTACATAAGTAGGGAAGCAGCTTGTGTTACTCTGCTTCATTCATGGGAGGTAGGTATCTAACAAGGCACAGTTACAAATCAACCCCATTGCTGTAGGTCTGGAGTCACATGTGGGCCAGGCCACACCAGGTAAGGCAGGCAGATTTCCTTCTCTGAAGGCAGTAGTAAGCCAGATAAGTTTTCACGACAATCAAAAGCAGTTCTATAGTCAGCATTTGCTGATTTTGGCTTTCCCAATACAAATTTCTAGTCAACCTGTTCAGAAATGTCAGAACACATCTTTGGGGCAGATGGGATTTGCACTCAAGCTTCCTGACTCAGAGGGACAGTCACTACCATTGTGCCACTGGCACCCCACTTCAATTTCAGATTCAGACATTTATCCAGTTTGCCTGTTTTGAGATTTTTACACACCTCTGAAGCAGTCGGGACTTGAACCCAGGGCTCCTGCTTCAGAGGGTCAGTCACTACCGTGGCGCTGTAAATGCCCCTCGTTCCGGATTTATTGAATTGAAATTGTACCAGCTGCTCTGGCGGAACTTGAATTCCTGTCCACAACACATTAGCTGGGGACCCCCTGGATTACTGGATCAGAAACACCACCATTTCACAATTTCATCCCCAGCGCCACTCAGGCCTGTCCCATGATCGAATTAACTCTTCCTGCAACAAGTAAAAACAGAAGGGATGCCTTCTGATTCTTGTCAATATTGCATTGATAAACTGGCTATTGGGGTAAAAAGGTTGGCTTGTGTTGCAGAGTAATACCAACAGCTATGGGTTCAATTCCTGCTTCAGCTGAGGTTACATAAGTAGTAGAATCATAGAATCCCTACAGTGTGGAAACAGGCCCTTTGGCCCAACAAGTCCACACTGACACTTGGAGCATCCCACCCAGACCCATCCCCCTATTACCCACCTAATCTACAGACCCCTGAACACTATGGGTAATTTAGCATGGCCAATCCACCTAACCTGCACATTTTTGAACTGTGGGAAGAAACCCATGCAGACATGGGGAGAATGTGCAAACTCCACACAGACAGTTGCCCGAGGGTGGAATTGAACCCGGGTCCCTGGCGCTGTGAGGCAGCAGTGCTAACCACTGAGCCACCTTGCCACCCTAAAAGTGGTTATCATGTTACCATGAAGGGATCTCCTTGTAAACCTCTCCCCTTGCTTGAAGTATGCTGATCCTCAGATAGATCATGCCACCAATCATTTCTCTTCCAATGAGAGGCAGCCTGCTGTTGTGGTAAGGCTGTTGTGACTTTTCTGTTGTTCAGGGCTTTGTGGGCAGACTTACATCAATGTGTGCCAGGGTGAAGACCACTGGTTCCGTCACATAGATGCGGCTGGACTCCTTGTTGATGGAAGCCGCGATGATGTGGGAGTTCACTGCAATGGAGTAGTTCCGCCCAGTCCCATCACCCGCCATCTTGATTGTCGCGTTCTCCGTGGTCAGGAACTGCCCCAGGCTCTTGTACAGAGTGAAGACCAGTTTCGCTGCACAGACCGGGAAAAGGATGGGTGCAGACAGGAGCACAAACTCTCAATAAGTTTAAAACAAACACAACCAAAGTAGTTCTCCCTCTAACCCCTGAAGAGATACTGAAAGCCCTTTCAAAAAGAAAAAGGAAACATATGTAAGGTTTCAGAAACTGAAATCAGACAAGGCTGTTGATGAATGTAAATGAAGCAGGAAGAAACTTAAACAAGGAAGTAGAAGGGCTGAAAGAGGCCGTGAAATGTCCTTGGCAAATAGGATTAAGGAGCATCTCCAGGCATTTTACACAAACATCAGGAGCAAGAAGGTAGCTATGGTTCACTCAATGGTTTTCATCTCTATATGACCTATTTGCCTATTTCTGAAGACAGGGATGCCAATGGTCCTCTGTCCATTGTGGCATAATATTGTAAAAGATTACGACAGGCGTAGATAAGATGAACAAAAAAAAACAAATTACTGGTCCCATTAGCACAAGATACAAAAGCTGAGAGAGAGATGATTGAGCGAGAGACACAGAATTATTTTAGGTAGAACCTTTTAAGCAGCAAAACCTTGAAATTGCTACCTAAACTTACTCAATCAAAGTAACATGATCTGGGGCACTCCAGCTCCTGAGGTGCCCCCTGGTCTCTGAAGGCCTCTATCACGTCAGTGGCTTCCTCTCCAGGGTCACCCAAGTGTGGACATGACCTCGACAGAGGGGGAAGGCAGTTAGGCACAACGCCCTCTCCAAGGCCTGCTATCTGAACCTGTTAATGGTCACTTTGGCCAGACCCAGGAGCAAGCTCACTAACCTGCTGGTCCCTCCCCACCACAGGATGCCCTCAGACCAGGAGTGTGGGGCTGAATTGCAACCAGAACCTTAGGAGCCGCCCCTTCAAAGGAAAAAAAAACTAAAGAGGGGTTGCAACCAAAAACATTCAACATGAATATGGAGAATCATTTCCCCCAGGACTTTGATGGGCAGAGTGGCTTTCTTCAGTGTTGGACTGACTATGCCAAGAAACCCAAGGCTAAAGTAAACTAACTAAAATAGGGGCTACCTCACATCAGAGAAAGGGGTTTGAGGGGGAGGGAAGGAACATTTTATTTAAAAGTGTATAGCTACAATCCTTACTCTAGGAAGGTTTCCCGTACCCATCACTTACCAGTTCGGCTGTTCTGCTTGATGGTGTTGCCTGAAAGGTGGATCGAGTTCCCACCCATATAGCCCTGGGGAAACCTCAGATCCTTCACCTGGCCCTCTGTAATCAGCAAACCAACCTCCAAAACTGGCTCAGCACCATTGCATGGAGGAAGCAGAGAGAAGACAAAAAAAAAAGGTTTTTTTTAAAAATATACCACGCACTCACATGACAAACCATCAGACATAATTTGTGCTGAAAATCAGCACTGGACTGTGTGTGTGTGAGAGAGCGTGTGTGTATTTGAGTGTGCGCGCGAGCGTGTGTGTGTATTCGAGTGTGTGAGAGCGTGTGTGTGTGCGCAAGCGTGTGTGTATTTGAGTGTGTATTTGAATGTGTGTGTGTGTGTATTTAAGTGTGTGAGACAGCATGTATGTGTATTTGAGTGTGTGTGTGAGCGTGTGTGTACGCATGCGCACGAGTGCTTGTCAGTTGATCTTTGTGCGAGTATGTATGTAAGGGTGTGTGTCTGTATGTATGTGAATGTGCATGTATGTGTGAGTGACTGTGTGTGTGTGTGTGTGTGTGTGTGTGTGTGTGTGTGTGTGTGTCTGCAAGTGTTTGTGTGTGAGTGCACATGTTCGAATCCCATCTTGGCATGATCTGAATTCAATAAAATATGTATTAAAGTTGATCACCATTGTTGTGAAAATCCATCTGGTTCACTTCTATCCTTTTGGGAAGGAAATCTGCCTGCTTTCCCAATCTGCCAACATGTGATTCCACACCCACAACAATTTTGTTAATGCTTAACTACCCTCTGGGCAAATAGGGATGGGCAATAAATGCTGGCTTTTCTGTCAGGACCTACATCCCATAAATGAATGAAAATAAATTGTTTTTTCTTCAAATATACTGGATGACCCAGCCCCAACAGCACTCTGCATTAAGAATTTCACAAATTCGTTTTCCTCTGACAAGAAAATTCCTCATCATTTCTGTCTGTAATTGGCGACCCATTATGCCCTCTGGTCATAGATTCTCCCACTCGATGAAACAACCTGTCTAGTTCCACCTTGCCAAGTTCCTGGAAAATCTTATGTTTCAATAAGACCTTCTCATTTTTCTAAACTTTAATGAGTACAGGCCCAACCCAACAAACCTCTCCTCATAAGACAGTCCTTCTATCCCTAGGATCAACCTAGTGAACCTTCTCTGGACTGCCTCCAATGTCAGTATTGTCTTTCTTTAGATAAGGGCCCAAAACTGTTTACAGCATTCCAGCTGTATTTAAACGAATGTCTTCTATAGTTTTATCAAGATTTCCCGACTATTCCACTCTTTTGGAAATAATGGGCCAACATTTCCAATAATCCATTTGCCTTCCCTATTACCCACTGAACATGGATGCCAGCTTTTTACAATTCATGCATAAGAGCGCCTAAAGCCCTTTGTGCTAGAGATTTCTGCAGTCTTTCTCCATTTAAATATTCACCACTTCTATTCCTCTTGCAAAGTCAATAGCCTTACATTTTTACATGGTATATTCCATCTACCAAGATTGTGACCACTCACTTAACCTGTCTGCATTCCTCTGCAGAGTCCTTGTGTCATCTTCACTGCTTGTCTTCCCACCTATTTTTGTGCTGTTCACAAACCTGGAACATCATTTTCTCTCATCAAATCATCAATTCACATCGTAAATAATTGGTGCCCAGGCACTAATCCCTTTGACACACCACTAGTTACAATTTGCTATCCGGGAAATCAATTCCCTGATTTATATTAGTTTGTCAACTCTCTATCTATGCTAATATACCAACCCCAACACCGTGGGCCCTTATACAATCAAATAACCTTATGGGTGGTACCTTATCGAATGCCCAATGGAACTTAAAATGTATTCCATTTACCGTCCATTTATCTACCCTGCTTGCTACCTCTTCAAAGAATTCCCATTAATTTTTCAGGCATGAAACTGTGCTGACTCTGTTTGATTACATCATTACATCAAAATGCTCTGCTATTACATCCTTTTTAATAGACTCGAACATTTTCCAAATGACAGATGCTACGCTGACTGGCCTACAGCTGTCTGTTTTTTTTGTGTCTCTCCCTTTTTGAATAACAGCAGTTTTTCAAACCTCTAGGACTTCTCTAAAATCTAAGGATTATTGGAAAATTTCCACCAGTGCACCCAATATCTCCATCGCTACTTCCTTTAACCCCTTCATTTTTTAGTATTTTTGGAATGCTATTAATTTGCTCTACCATGAAGATTGACACAAACTATTTATGCAACATCTCTATTTCCTGGTTCCCCACTTTTTTTTTATTTCCTCAGCCTCATTCTCTAAATGGCTTATCTTCACTTTGGCCTCAATGTTCCACTTTAAATAAGTTCTTACTGTCCATTTTTTATTTTGCTTACTAGTTTGCCCTCAAAGGGTATTTTCTCCCTTTTTAAGAGTCATCTTTTGTTGGCTTTTAAAACTTCCCCAGTCCTCTGGCTTTCCAGAAATCTTTGCTGTACTGTATGCTAGATACTATGCTTCACTTCCTTGAATAGCTATGTTCAGTTATCCCATTCCTAGAATCCTTCTTCTGCGCTGTGATATTTCTTCACTGAGTCGATTTTATTAAACACTTATCATTGTTCCTCAACTGTCTTTCACAAAATGTCTTTCCCAGTCCACTCCAGCCAACTCATTCCTTTGCAATTACCCTTATTTCAGTTTAGCACAGTTGATTCTGACCCAAGCTTCCCAGTCTCAAACTGAATGCTAATTCTAACCTGTTGTGGTCACTGTTCCCGGGGCCATTTTTTTAAAACTCTGAGATCATTTATTAAATTTGCCGCATTATACATTACCAGATCCAAAATTGCCTGCTCCCTCAACAAACAAAAAAAGAAAGAATTTGCAATGCTGGAAATCAGAAACCAAAACAGATATTGCTGGAAAGATTCAGCAAGTCTGGCAGCATCTGTGGCAATGAAGCAGAGTTAACGTTTCGGGTCCAGTGACCCTTCTTCAAAATGCCTGCTGCCTAATTGGATCTGTAACATATTGTCCTAGGAAAGTGTCCTGAATGCATTATGTGAATTCTTCCTTGGGGCTACCTTTGGCAATTTGGTTTTCCCAATCTACGTGAAGATTAAAGTTATTAAAATGATTTAATGCATTGCTTGTTGTTACATGCCCTCATTGTCTCGACTGGCACTCATGAGGCTGCACAGTCGTTGACCATTTCACGAGGCTGGGCAGTTCTGAGGAAGGGTTACCGGACCCAAAACGTTAACTCTGATTTTTTTTTTTCTTCACCAATGCTGCCAGACCTGCTGAGCTTTTTCCAGCAGCTTCTGTTTTGTGCCACTCGGCTGGGAACCTTTTGAGGCAGGACCAGCACCCAAGAAAATTGGGGGAAGAGGTTCAGCTTTGAATTGATTCACTCATCGCTCAGGCGACAGCCATCAGAATTGTAACTTAGGCTCCCCACCAAGTTTTTGCGCTGGGAGAGTGAGAAACTCTATAAAATTCAGCCCAGGACAATTTACTTCCTTCCTTAAAAGATATCAGTGAAGCATAATGGTTTTCTAAAACTAATTTTCTGATACGAGGCATTTTATTTTATGTAAGAGAAATGAATTCAAATTCTCAAGTTCCAACGGTAGAATTCGAAATTGTGTTCTCTGTGTCCACCCAACTGCATGTATGACAGTGAAACTGTATAATTTCTGCCCTGCAGCCTGAATTAAATTACAAGCAAAATGTATATGCCACTTCACCAGACATTAAAATGAAACAATGACATTTATTCTATACATATATTTTGCAGTTTGAACACAACACAATCTGTGAAGACAATGAAGATAGATTTCCTCTTCATACTACTTTTCAACAATACCTTAATGGGGAAAAATAAAATCTCACTGTGTTTTCCCAGTCCCAGAGAGTCTGCAATTTTAAACTGTACTTGTTATTTGGCCAGAAATAGCAAATGGGTGAGATTTTTCTGTCACGTTTGCGATCAGATTTCTCCTCGATCATCCAAAACTAGCTGAAACAAAAACCATCCTAACTTCCTTTACTAATTCACAGGGATGTAAGTGTCACTAGCATTTACTGTCAAGAGGGCAGTTATGATTCAACCACATTGCTGTGGGGCTGGAGTCACAAGTAGGCCAGACCAGGTAAGGATGGCAGTTTCCTTCCCTAAAGGGCATTAGTGAACCAGATGGGTTTTTCCAACAATTGGCAATGGATTCATGATCATCATTAGATTCTTAATTCCAGATATATTATAAGCAATAATAATATATGTTCCCAGAACATTATCTGGGTCTCTGTTTTAACAGTCCAGTGGTAATACCTCTCAGCCATTGCCTCTCCTGTTTGCAAACCCCTGGTCAATCTATTTCAGTGGCATAACAGCACTGGAAAATCATATGTTCAACTAGTTACGCTCCCATCAAACAGAATAAATCTGAGCAGGCTGTTTATTGCCTTCATCATCGGCCTGCACCCCTCATTGATGGTAATGATTGAAGGAGTCGTCAACTAATGGGCCGAAGGGCCTTTTTCTGTGCTGTAGACATCTATGACTCTGTGGCATCTGTCAACTCAGATTCAGCCCAATTCAAGGGCTTTCAAGACTACATCCCTTATCCCAACCCTGATGCATACAGTGACAAAGGAGCTGAATTTCATAAAGGGGAGAGGAGATTATTTGACCACAATGTTGTGGCAGTATTTGGACTGAGTGTGACACCAGACAGATGAAGTAAAACAGGGGTTAACTAGGGTCAATAGGAAATCTCTTTGATAGCCTGGAAGGATGATAAACACAAACAGAGATGGCTCTGGTTATTGGAAGTTCTCCATTGGGGTGACAAAAGGAGATCCTCAGAATAGTGTCCTCTGTTTGACTCTCTCCAGCTGACCTTTGTGCTATCAGGAGCGGTCAGTGTACTGTCAATTTTGGTTTTCAGCTCCATTTGTAGCATCTGAGGATAATGAAGCAGCCTACGCCAGATATGGACAACATGCAAACTTTGGATGCGAATTGGAATATATTCAACTCTTAGAAGGCAGGAGCAGAAATGGCCATTCAGCCCATCGAGTCTGCTCAGCCATGCAATGAGATAATGGTTGATCTGATAATCCTCAACTCCATTTTCCTGCCTTTTCCCCATTACCCTTAAAGAGCCACAGAATTATTCCAGTGCAGAAGGAGGCCATTCAGCCCATCATAGGTACAGTCATAGAGTTATCGAGTAATACAGCATGGAAACAGGTCCTTTGGCCCAAACTGCTCCATGCTGACCATGGTGCCCACTCAGCTAGTTCCAATTGCTCGCATCTGGTCTATATCCCTCTAAACCCTTCTCATTCATGTACCTACACAAATATCTTTTAGATGTTGCCATTGTACCTGCCTCAACCACTTTCTCTGGCGGCCCATTCCATATACGCACCACTCTCTACAAGAAGAAGTTGCCCCTCAGGACCTTCTTAAATCTATCCCTTCTCACCTTAAACCTACACCCTCTAGTTTTCAATTCCCCTTCCCTGCATTCATCCTATCTATGCCCCTCATGATTTTATACACTTCAATAAGGTCACCCTTCATTCTCCTACGTTCCAAGGAATAAAGTCCTATCCTGGCTGACCTCTCCCTGTAACACAGGCCTCCTAGTCCTGGCATCATCCTCGTCAATCTTGTTTGCACACTTTAGAGTTTAACTATGTCTTTCCTATAACAGGGTGACCAAAACTGTACACAATACTCCAATGGCAGCATCACCAATGACTTATACAACTGTAACATAATGTCCCAACTCCTGTACCCAACGCTTCGACCAATGAAGGCCAACATGCTAAATGACTTCTTCACCATCCTGTCTACATATGACGCCACTTTGAGCAAACTATGCACTTGTACTCCCAGATCCCTCTGTTCCACAACACTCCTCAGGACATTATCAATCACTGTATAAGTCCTACCTTATTTTGATTTTCCAAAGTGCAACACCTTGTACTTGTCTGTATTGAATTACATTTGTCAATCCTTAGCCCACTTCCCCATGGGATCAAGATTCCTCTGTAATTTTTGATAACCTTTTTCGCTATCAATGCTACCTCCTAATTTTTCAGATCATTCTGCCTTCTCAGTGGCTCAGTGGTTAGCACTGCTGCCTCACAGCGCCAGGGACCTGGGTTCAATTCCACCCTCGGGCAACTGTCTGTGTGGAGTTTGCACATTCTCCCTGCGTGTGCGTGGGTTTCCTCCGGGTGCTCCGGTTTCCTCTCAGTCCAAAGATGTGCAGGCTAGGTGGATTGGCCATGCTAAATTGCCTGTAGTGTTCAGGGGTGTGTGGCTTAGGTGGGTTATAGGGGAATGGGTCTGGGTGGGATGCTCTATGGGTTGATGTGGACTTGTTGGGCCAAAGGGCCTGTTTCCACACTGTAGGGATTCTATGAACTATCCACAAATTTACTAATCATTCCTTGTACATTCACATCCAGATTTATGTAAATAACAAAGGTCCCAACACCAATCCCTGTGAACTGTAACAGATCGGGCAGTGTTAGCTGTGAACCATTAGAGGCTGGTTACAGTGTTAGCTGTGAACCATTACAGGCTGCGGTCTATGTGCATTGCTGTTTTATTGGACATGAATGTTGGGATTTTCCCATCCCACTTGGGTTCCAAGTGGAATTATTCACAGAACACACCCAAAGTCCTCCGGGTTTTAGGTGTGCCTGTTTAACGTGAAAGTACTTTTAAAGTTCTGAAGAAGAGTCTCTGGACTTGAAATGTTAACTCCAGTCCGAAAAACAACCTTCAACCATCACCCTCTGCTTCCTACCACCACTTACGCTCACATTCTGCCTGAGTGACGACGAATGGGCATGTGAGTAGGAGATGGGATACGATACCCACAGCAACGTGGTTGATTCCTCATTGCTCTCAAGGGCAGTTAGGGATGGGCACCAAAAACTGGAATTACCAGCAGCACCCATATTTCACAAACAAAAGGAAACATGGAGTTAAGGTACAGATCAGTCACGATCTGACTAAATTCCAAAATACAGCATGGAGGGACCATGTGGTCTTCTCAGTTCAACGTCCCAGTTCTCCAGAGGAGATGTGAGATAAGCCATTTTTACGCAACAGAAGTCTAAATTCCAGCAATGCTTTGAATATTTTGTTGAAGAGATGAACCGGTCTGTGCCATTTGAGCAGACAGCGCAGTTCTGCTGTTTTTGGACTGTGCGCCAGCCAATTCTAAAACAATTACAAGTCACTTTAATGCTTCTTCTGCTCTGTACACATGCTTTGGTGTCTGTTTCCAAGGAACAATCAGATACAGAGATTGTTTGCTTGTGATTGGAAAGCCGGATTCTATTGAATGCATAATCTGAAATCCTATTGAGCACAAGGGCTTGTTATTCTGAAACGTTGTCTGCCGATTGCGAGGAGAGATCTGAACATCTATCACCTCATGCTCACACCTCGAGATGTTAGGATTGGATTGAATCTCTGCCTGTCTCTCCTGCGTGTGTCCCTGTTTAGGCATGGCTAGCGTTGGACAACTAGCTTCTCTTTGATCTGGAGATTTATTTTTTGGTTCAAGAAGGGGCTGTTTATGATCACATTTCTTTGTTCTACAGTGGAAATGCTGATGTTTCCTGTCAGGTCATAAGACTATAAATGTAGGAGCAGAAGCAGGCCTTTCAGCCCATTGAGTTTACTTTGTGTTCAATGAGATCATAATAGATCTGATCACCGTCAACTCCACTTTCCTGCTTTTTCACCTTAACAACTGATTCCCTCACTGATTAAAAATTCATCTATATCAGCCTTGAATATACTTAACAAGCTCGTCGCTACAGCCTTCTGGAGTAAAGAATTCCACAGATTCATTATCCTATGAGAAAAAAAATGCTCATCCTCACCACCTGCCTTCCCACCAATGTTTGTGGTGAGGCACTGGTCACAAAGTGGCTAGCCAATAGCACAAGCTTCAATGTGCAGCTTCAGGAGTGGGTAGCACACATGCCTCTAAGGTACAAAAACCTAGGTTCAAGCGTACTCCAGGAATGGGGAGGAGTGGGATCTGCTGGAGGTCTCGCCTTCCAGCTTAACAGCCCCAACAAACTCTACCCCAATCAGCTGGTGGTGAGCCTTCCCCGAGAATCAAGATCCATTGGGGTTTTGTGGTGGGGAGGTGGGCATATTGACCCAGCACAGGGATTATTACCAGTCAATCAGAGGCCATTAGCTCTTGTGCCCAGCAATGCCAGGGAGGATGCCATGTTTTCTGTCAGGAGGAAGCCAGCCCCCATTCCGTCTCTCCGCAATGGACCCAGGACAAAGGTAGCGACTTGAGGAGATACTTGGGCCAGGAGTCACAAAGAGAAGGGTAGGGGGATTCAGAAGCCAGGGCGGGGGAGGGGTGAGCCTAGCCTTTTGACCAGGAGCTAAATATCATTCAGAGATAGTAGGAACTGCAGATGCTGGAGAATCTGAGATAACAAGGTGTAGAGCTGGATGAACACAGCAGGCCAAGCAGCAACAGAGGTGCAGGAAAGCTGACGTTTCGGGCCTAGACCCTTCTTCAGAAAATTTTCCTGAAGAAGGGTCTAGGCCCAACACATCAGCCTTCCTGCTCCTTGGCCTGCTGTGTTCATCCAGCTCTACACCTTGTTAGCTAAGTACCTTTGATTGCAGGACTGTTCACCCTTGCCTGAGGTGGTGAAGCTGCCAACAGGGTATTACATATTGTCAATGCCAGCTGGTGACAGACCCGCTTCATAGAATCATAGAATCCCTACAGTGTGGAAACAGGCCCTTTGGCCCAACAAGTCCAAATTGACCCATAGCGCATCCCACCCAGACCCATCCCCCTATAACCCACCGAAGCTACACATCCCTGAACACTATAGGCAATTTAGCATGGCCAACCCACCTAACCTGCACAGCTTTGGACTGTGGGAGGAAACAAGACCACCCGGAGGAAACCCATGCAGACACAGGGAGAATGTGCAAACTCCACACAGACAGTCGCCTGAGAGTGGAATTGAACCCAGGTCCCCGGTGCTTTGAGGCAGCAGTGCTAACCACTGAGCTACCGTGCCGCCCCATATCTGGGTTAGTTCCTACTGGTGCACTGAGACCCTGCAGTGGTCCTGAATAAGCTTCAACTGGTGGTGAAATGGTTGGGAACCAGAGAAAATAGGTGCGGGAATAGGCCATTCAGCCCTTCGAGCCTGCACCGCCATTCAATATGATCATGGCTGATCATGCAATTTCAGTATCCCACTCCTGCTCATTCTCCATACCCCTTGATCCTTTTAGCCACAAGTCTTACTTCCAGCCCCTTCTTGAATATATCTAACAAACTAGCCCCTGTGGTAGAGAATTCTTATGAAGAAGGATCTCCTCATCTCTGTCCTAAAGGGCCATACCATATCTTTAGCCTGTGACCCCTGGTTCTGGACTGTCTGGTCATCAGGAACATCCTTGTTGCTTTCACTTTAGTCTAGTTCCATTAAAATTTTATTGGTTTCTATGTGATGCCCACCCTGTCCCATTCCCAGTTTTCTAAATTGGCCGAGCCAACGACAGCTTTGAATGAGTAAAGATTGAAAACAAAGTTGTTCTTGGGATCTTCCTATACACAAACCACATGTCTATACCTCAACAAGTACTTCATTGGCTGCAATTATGGTAGAGGGCACTATAGAATGCAAGGTATCTGTTTTGTTTTATCCAACAGGAAGGACCATGACAGCTCTGGTCCCCCGTGCCTTGTCTGGCCTTGAACCTGCGCTAAGGTAAGCTGAGCAAAGCCACTCACCTATGTTCTCAGTGGGCACCGTGACGGTGGTTGGCTCCATGAGGTTATCAGCCAGGACGAAGGCACCTTCTTCCAACGTGTCAAGTAGCAACGTCGCTGCGTGAGCCTGTTCTGTTGCATTCATGTCCTTCCACGACTGCAGAGCCTCCGGTCTCAACAGATTGTCAACAGTGTCCACGATGGCCTGGCATCGGGAGATGGGGGGGAGGAAGAGGGCAAAAAGGTTGGCATTAGTGCTGCCCTGGATAATCTGCAAACATAGAGTCAGGTTAAAAACTCAAATCTTTTGTTCTACTTGGGGGAATCCCGAATATAATGCAGGAAGAATGTTTCTGTTGGGCGGGGGTGGGGTGAGACCAGAACCAGGGGGTCACAGTTGAAAGATATGGGGTAGGCTATTTAGGACTGAGATGAAAATAAGTTTTCTTTTACCCCAGGAGTTGTGAGCCTGGGGAATTTGCTTCCATGGAAAGTAGTCAAAGCCAAGTTATTGTCTGATTTTAGGAAGGAGTCGGGTTTAGCATTTGGGGCTAAAGGGATCAAAGGATATGAGGAGAAAATGGGAAGCGGGCAGTCAGTTGGACGGTCAGCCATGATTGTCCTGAATGGGGGAGCAGACCCGAAGGGCTGATGGCCTACTCCTGCTCCTATTATCGATATTTCTGGAGGGTTATGATTTTGAAAGCAGAGCCTTGCTATCCAGTGGTGTTGCCAAAAATCAAACAGTAGCAGGAATTTAGAAACCTGTCCATTCTAAAGATTAAGGAGGCTGCGGGGTCTGTTGACAAATATCAAACCAGAGCTTGGTAGATTCCTGTTAGCTATGTGCGTGTTAAGGGAGAGGGAACTAAGGCAGTTGAAAAACAAATGATGCCTGATCGAAGTGTAACAGACACGAGAATACTGAAGATACTCAGCAGGTCTGGCAGCAATTGAAGAAAAACCACAGCAGACTCAAAAAAAACTAACTCGATTTCTCTCTTCACAGATGCTGCCAGACCTGGTGAGTTTCTCCAGCTTTCTCTGTGTTTGTTTCAGATCTCCAGCATCCGCAGTATTTTGCTGATCAAATGGAATATTGAACCAGGCAGAAGGTAAAGTCACCATAGTTCCGGAGACTGCACTCTCATCTGAGAGATGACGGTTGGCAGTTTAACCCGAGGTTCAGCACACCTCAAGCGAAGGGAAAGGTTGAGAAAGAAAGTCCTCCATGGTAACCTAAGCTAAAGCAGGAACTGAACCCACAAGATTAGGATCACAAATGAGCATCCAGCCAATTGAGCTAAATGACATTCTACATTGTTAGAATCTCCTACAGTAAAAGAGATATAGTTTGTGTTGAACAATTTTATGCTGTTTGGATTTCTGTGGCCACTGGGGCTGTTTCTGGGCTACTCAATCAGTCCTTACATAGTTATCTCGAGTTATATTACCCACATACGGCTATTCTTTCTGCTCTCAGCCCAATACCTCTACTTTCCTGGGACTGATCCTGGGAACTTTCTTAATTCTCAACTCCATTCTGCTGGTCAATGGTGTCAGCAGAAAACTCAAGGTTTGTTTTCACCAGGATGGACACAGTTTCTCCTCACCATCGTGTCCTTTGATGCCTGCACGGTCTCTTAAACCGTCATGCTGCTTCTCTGACACACAGTTCTGCAAGAACTGAAAACACCTCCAACTAAATATTGGAAAGTCTGAAGCTCTTGATCTCAGCAGACCCCAACCAACAAGCTCCATTCTCTGGCAATCAGATCCATCCCTTTCCTTTCCCATATGAGGATGAGCCAGCCTTTTTGCAACTTTGGTGTCAGTCTGACCACAAAGTAAGCGAATCACTACATTTCTAAGCCACCACCAGGCTTGCTCATTTCTGTACAACATGACTGACTCTACCTCTGTTGCTGAAACCTTATCCACACCTTTGTCACCTCTAGACTGGACTCGCCACACAAGAGGGGCGATGGTCTAGTGGTATTATTGCTGGACTGTTAATCCAGAGACCCAGGTAATGTCCTGGGGACCTGGGCTCAAATCCTGCTACAATTCGGTGCTAACCTGGAAATAGGAGTCTAATAATGATCATTAAATCCATTGTCAATTGTCAGGAAAAACCCATCTTGTTAATGCGCTTTAGGGAAGGAAATCTGCCACCCTTGTTTGGTCTGGCCTACATGGGACTCCAGACCCATAGCAATGTGGTTAACTCTTAACTGCCTCATGGGCAATTGGGAAGGGACAATAAATGCTGCCTAGCCAGCGATGCCCACATCCTGTGAATGAATCAAAACAAAAATTTCAAAGTCCTCCTGGCTTGTAACCCATATTCTGCCTTCTATGTGTTTTGTATTCATTCACAAGAAGTATGTACTTGAAGTCATACAGTCATACAGCACGGAAACAGATATTCTGCCCAACCAGTCCATGCCTAACATAATCCCAAACTGATCTGGTCCCACCTGCCCGCTCCTGGCCCATATCCTTCCAACCTTTCCGATTCATTTACTTATCCAAATGTCTTTTAAACGTTGTAATTGTACCCACATCCACCACTTCCTCAGGAAGTTTATTCCACACACGGACCATTCTGTGTGCAAAAAATTTGCCCCATGTCTTTTGTAAATTTTCTCCTCTCACCTTAAAAATGTGCCTCCTTCCCTTGAAATCCCCCATCCTAGGGAAAAGACAAGTTACCATTAACTCTATCTATACCCCTCATGATTTTATAAACTTCCATAAGGTCACCTCTCAACGTCCCTATGCTCCAGGGAAAAAATGATCCAAAATTGTGTTTAGCTCACATCAAGTCTCGTTCTTCTGATCTTGAAAATGACACTGCTTCTTTAGGAAGCAACACCGTTTTATTAAAAAACGTCATTATTTTCAAACCGTTCCATGGCGATGCCTTCTTCCCATCTCTATAATCTTCTCTAACCTCACAGTGTTCTGAGGCAACCGCAATCCTCTAATTCTGGCCTCTTGGGTATTTCGTTTGCAATTATTGTTAAAGTACCCTGGGCCCCAAGCTCTGGAATTCCATCACTAAACCTTTCCACCACTGTAACTTCCTTTCTTCTTTTAAGACAGTCTCTCCATCTTCAACAAACCTTTTGGTGAAACAGAGGATTATGGAGAAACTCAGCAGGTCTGGCAATATCCATGGAGTGAGAGAAACAGAGTCAATGTTTTGTGTGCAGAATGATTTATTCAGAACTATGAAAAAAAAAGTCAAACTGGATTTGAAATGCTAACTCTGTTTCTCCCACCACAGATGCTGCCAGACCTGCTGAGTTTCTAAAAGCATTCTATGTGTCTATTTCAGATTTCCAGCTTCTGCAGCATTTCGCCTTTATTTGAAGGTGTTTGGCCAAATGCCTTAATACCTCTTTTCCTCAAGTTTTGTTTGCTGATATCGCCCTGCATTGAACAGATTATGTTCCACTGCAAAAATCCCAAGTCGCTATTGTTTAATGTAATGAAACATTCCGAGGCACTTCCAAAAAAAGCATTTCGGGAGGTTCTGAAAGGACAGAGGAGACAGCAAGAAGCAGCTTTGAAGAGTTAGTTGAAACATGCAAAGATATAGACTAAAAGGTACATTAAAAGATGACTTTTGAAGGCATTTGAAGAGCTGGAAGATCATAAGAACTGGGCCACCCTCGAGTCTATACCACTATTCAAGCAGATTGTGCTTGATCTGAAATCCACTTTCTTGCTTGATGCCCACAACCCTTGACTCCCTTTGTAAGGATTACATATATTTCTTTGGAATACAAACTGGGAAAAATGGAAGTTTGGTTGCCGCTGTATTGCAGAGACTGAACCGGTTCGCTTTCTTACAACTCGAAGGTCAAAAGGGGAAATCTGTGATGTTCACTAAGACAGGAGAAGCTGGATTTGTTACTTTGGCAACAGCTTTGGATTTACTTTAAACTGTGGTTTGTCACAGAACTGAGATAGGGCACTCGCACTTGGACCTTCAGAAAACCTGCCAGCCAAGACAGGTCTGTCCGTCTCTCTTTCTCTCGGCGAGTAGGACAGAAACATCTAACAGACTCTGAAAGGAACTTCAGACTCAAGAAAAGACCTATGTCCACTTGATCAGCTACCAAACTGATTATTTTCTGATGTGGAGGTGCCGGTGTTGGGCTGGGGTGGACAAAGTCAGTAGTTATGTGACACCAGGTTATGGTCCAACAGGTTTATTTGAAATCGCAAGCTTTCGGAGCACTGTTCCTTTGTCAGGTCATTTGGCGAAGGAGCAGTGCCCCGAAAAATTTTGATTTCAAATAACCTATTGAACTATGACCTGGTGTTGTGTGACTTCTGATTTCTGACTACAATAGGACATCATCATCAAAAGCCAAAAGAACCGATAGAAAGCCATCTCACACCCTTGTGGTTTAGAATTTTGATCCATATAATTTGTTCCTTTTGCTTACGTCTTTCACTCATGGTACTTCTGCAGAACTGTCTGTCTCATCTCTCTTCTTTGTCAATGAATGTGTGTATTTTTGGGTTAAAGGGAGTGTAGGTTAAGTTTGCGCAGTCATAATTTAAAATCCATCTTGCCATTCATAATAGGTTAAGTTTGCTTATTAAAAAAGAAAGTCTTTTTGTTTGTTTTTGGAACCTGGTGTGAATTTCATTAATCCTAGATAGCAGTCAATGTCAGGCAAATTAACCATATTAACCATTAACCATTCTCTTCTGCTGCAAGGAAAACAACCCAGTTTGTCCTGTCACTCTTTGTAAGTAAATCTCTCACAGCCCAGGCAACATCCTGATAGATCTTCTCTGCACCCTCTCCAGTGCAATCACATCCCTCTTACAGTGAGAATTCCACATTTATTTACCCATTTGTGATGGCTCATGGAATAATAGGACTTGATTTCTAGGGGATTCTGCCCATCAGGATCAATACACCTTCAAAATCAGAAGTCTCTAACACAGCCTTGAATATTCAATGACTTAGCCTCAACTGCTCTCTATCGAAAAGGATTCCAATGACCCACTATTAGAAACAACTACACCCCCAATCTTCATGTTAAGTGGGACAGCCTTTATCTGTAATCTATGCCCCCCACATTCAGAATCCTCCAAAAGGGCCAACACTCCAGGGGTTTCAGGAAGACAAGTCCATCATGAATGGATCTGAGTGGTCAGCCATTAGTCTATGTGACA